GTTCCACTATGTTCACAGCTGCCTTATTTGTAATAGCCAGAACCTGGAAGCAAGACAAATGCCCCTCAACTGAAGATTTGATAGAGAAAATGTGGTACATTTACACAATGGAGTACTATTCGGCAGGAAAAAAAATACATAATCCTGAAATTTGCAGGCAAATGGATGGCACTAGGAGAAACCATCCTGAGTGAGGTAACCCAGTCACAAAAAGACACATGGTATGTACTCTCTCATATATGGATTGTAGACATAGATCAGGGGAATGCCAGCCTACAATCCCATGACCAGAGAGTCTGGGAAACAGAACCTTCAACCAATGACTGATGGAAGCAGAGGCAGACACCCACAGCTGAACACTGAGCTGAACTCAAGGAGCCCAGTGACAGAGAGGGAGGACTGATGAGCAAAGGGGTTAAGATTGGGCTGGTTTAACCCCCAGAAACAGCTGACCTGAACAAGAGGTAGTTTTTGAATCCCAGACTGATGGCTGGGAATCCAACATGGGACTGATCAAGATCCCCTGAATGTGGCTATCAGTGAGGAGGCCTAGGCAGTCTATGGAGCCTTGGGTATGGATCAGTATTCATCTCTGGCTTACAAATGGACTTTGGGTGCCCATCCCACAATGAGAGGTGCACTCTCACCCTGGATTCTTGGGGGAGGATCTAGACCCTGCCCTGGATGAAATGACAGACCATGGACACCCCCATGGAGGGCCTTACCCTCCCTAGGGAAAGGAGGGGGTGGGGGTTGTTGGGACAGCATGGGAGGAGAGGGGAAAGGAAGAGGGATCTGGGATTGACATGTGAAGCAACCTTGTTTCTAATTTAAATTTAAAAATAAAAAATAGTAAAAAAAAAAGAAAGAAAGAAAGAAGGAAGGAAGGAAAGAAAGAAAGAAACTGGACATGGTGACACATGCTTGTAATCCCAGCACTAGGAAGGCAGAAAAAGAAAGATAACTGCAGGGCTGCTGTCCAGCCAGGCTAGCTTCATTAGTGAGTTCTGAGCCCCCAAAACTAAGATGAACATCTCCTAAGGAAAACGTCCAAAGTTGATCTCCAGACCCCACACACACACAACATATGCACACATACACATGGGAGAGGCAGAGCTGAGACAACTCCACATGCTGTTGCTCTGTAATATGGCCTTCATGCATACCTCAACCACATTCATTCTAATAAAGCTAACTCTAATTTTCTCCATTTTAGTATTAACTCTGTAAACACTTTGAGTAAAAGGCTTAAGTCATATTATCTATCTGCCCTAATAGTGCCTAGCAGGTGCCTCATAAAAAAACTTATGCACTAAATTTTGTTAAATTTATGTTTATGTGCATGAGTGCTTTGCCTGCATGTATGCCTGTGTACCACATGCATGCCTAGTGTCCAAGAAGGTCAGAAGAAGGTAATGGATCCCCTGGAACTGAAATTAAAGATGGCTGTAAGATACTGGATGGGTGCTAGGAATTGAACTTGGGCCTATCTGAAAAAGAAACCAGTGCTCTTGACCATAGAGCCATTGCTCCAGCCCACATCAAAAAATGTTTAAGAGCTACATGAACATATCAAGAAATAGCTGATGGCTAAGAGTATAACACAGTGGTAGATAAGTTGACTGGCACACAAAATTTCATTCCCCTGGCTGTCTCTGCCTGTCTCTGTGTGGAGGGGAAAAATAGTTGAACATTCCTTACTGTTGTATTGCACAACAGTCTAAGAACTAAGATGTTTCACATTATTCTAACAATTACTGTTATTATCCAGTAAGAAGGCATTTTTATTTGTGAAGTGAATAATTACCTTTAGTTAAAAAATAATACTTGAAAATACATTTATGAAACAGACACATAATTAAAGATGCTGTATTTGTCTATGTCTGGCTATTTCTCTTATGAGCGCATAAAAGAAATGAAAGCTAACCAGTATTACTGGGACGCTTTCCAGCTTGGAATGTGGGGTTAGTTTTTACTTGGCACATGTATAGACAGCACTTCTTGCAGTTATTTAATGCATATTTAATCATCGCCTTTACAGTAATCCTACATTAAATCATATTAGCCAAACTAAGTTACAGTTCTTCAGACTGCTGGCCAAAGGACTGCTGGGTCAGCACCATGGACAGGGGGAGCAGTTCCAGAAATGGCTAGGATGACTTGTAAAATGACAGCCGTGGGGAGAGGGTCTACCAAAGAAGTAATTGGGTTAAGTGCTCCTTTGGGGAACACAGAGAAGCCTCCAATTACTAAAGTCTTGGGAAAATAACCACTCTCCAGTGTCTCCAACTTGCATTTATTGACCCACTTATGGATTCACTTCTCTGTTGGCAAATGTGCTCTTCTCAAGACACAAACACTTGTGTGGATGTAAAAGCAATACTTAATTAACAAACTTGGGGACAATTGTTGTCCTTTAAAAGCCTCCATTCAAAAAAATTGTTGATGCACCTAGAGCGGGCTTATAATGTTACTGAAGTTGTTTCAAATCAGAGCCCCTGACTTTCAGCAATACATTCTGATGCTTGCGCAGAATACACAGAATGCTCAGAATTTGCTTCAAAATACTCCTGGATCAGGAGACTGGGTGGAGGTATGGAGTAGACAGATTAGCCAAGAGCTGTTAACGGCTACAGATGGAAGGCAAGAACATGAGCTAATTCTACTTTTGTATTCCTTTGAAATTCCCCACTGAGACATGAGTATGACCACAACGTGTATAATGATGCCTGCACATAAGAGATAATGAAGGTGAGCCCAAATGTCTTCTGCTCAAGGTAGACTTTTAATAAAGACAGGCTGCAACTTCCCAAGGGAGATTTGAAATTTCGTCTTACTTAAGCCTGGGTGACAGAGTAAGAGGTTTAGTCATCCAAGGATGATTGTTTTCTTCTGAAACAAGACCTTAGGAAAGCAAAGTCTTAACCAGAAACAAATGAAAAATTTCCATTTACTTCCTCTGACAAGCTGCTGCACAAATCCAGAGGCGGAAGGGAGACACATTTCCAAGCAGACATGGTGATGTGTGCTTGTAACCCCAGCACTCAGTAGAAGCAGAAATACAAGTCAAGGACAGCTGGGTTGCATAGGGAGACTATCTGAAAATGCAATGTTTTGCATCCCATTTCATATTTCATTAAGCTAGCATCCTAGTGGGGACGATGGACGTAATGCCCCGTCATTTGAAAGTGTGCTTATCCCACTGCTAGCCAACTTCTTTTAATTAACCTGGCCTGGCAAGTCTTGACCCATTTTACAGTCAAGCAGTAAAAGGTAACATCTAATGGCTACTCCTAAGAGGGCTACTCCTATTCGGTCCTTACCATTGCCTAACGCCACACAACCAATTTGTAAAGGTCTCATGTAGCCCAGGCTGGCTTCATGGAATCTTGATCCTGCTGCCTCCACCACTTCCCAAGTTCTGGGAATACAAGCATGAACTACCACATCCAGCTCCCTCTTGTCTTAAACTCTACCTCACTCACTTCAAGTTACAATCTCCTTAAATCCAGCAAACCATCACGTTTATGACTTTGAGATGCTCAGATACACACCTGGCTTAATACCAATAGATGGGCCACAAACATAAAAGACCTTATTGTTGTCTGAATCTGAACCTGGGTTTCCATGTGACTCCCCATAACCTTTAGCACCTGCATCACCCCACTGAGGTCTCAGTGCCTTAAACTCTAAAATGGAGGTGCCCCATCCTCTTTATGGGATTGTTGTAAAGACGAGGCTTGCTCGATCCTTATTTGCTCTGTCCTTTGGGTCTCATTCCTAGTAATGCTTCTTCCAAGACATTTACCCAGACCTCTTATCTAGACCAAAACTCCAATGTGTTTCTTTTCTTACACAGGCCATTATCTGTGGCTTGTTGATGCTTTCCACGCCCAGCAGACTGAGAACTCAAATATGGTATGAGGTTCCTGATTTGGTTCACCCCCTTCACCATGTCTGGTAGGAAACCAGTACTAAATATATACTATTTTTTAAAATGCCGTTAAGACAAGCTGTGTGCCAGCTCTAATCTATGCCCTGATAGATACTAGATGCACCCACAGATTACCTCTGACCTTCCTTCAAGTTATGCCTTGTACACATATGGTGCTTTATGCCTCTGAGATGCTAGAATTAGGCAAATTATGGCAAAAAAAACCTTTGAGAAATAAGTCATTGACCTGTTTCCTAACAAGCTACTGACTCTGAGATTTGTTTTACCCACTAATGAATGCCAAGAACTTAAAATACAATCACAAAGTAGGCCCTCCATAAATACAGGATGGATATTCATGAACCGACAGGGTCTGAGACATCTAGCTATGAAGTTCTGCAGCAGTAGAGAAATCTAGGCCTGGTTCTACAAGGTCCCAGGTGCCCTTTTGATCATGCTGGGCCACTAAGACCTTCCCAGAGCCTTACACAATTAAGAGATTGACCAAAAGGAAAACGAGACTTCTGACCATACATTTGAACAGAGCCCGGGACATGTCCTTTCTCAGGAGAGCAGGCTCCAACTAAGGATCACAGACAGCAAGCACTCCTGCCTGTAATCCATCCACCTAACAAAGGAGTCACACGTCTCACACACACACACACACACTCTCTCTCTCTCTCTCTCTCTCTCACACACACACACACACACACACACACACACACACACACACACACACACACACACACACACACACACACAGCCCCTTTCACTAAAGAAATGACTCCAGGGCCTGAGGCAGGGCGCTCATTGCTGTGCTTAACGGTCTCTGGAGGAACAGGGGGCGTCCTCAACGTGTCCCTCCGCCCCCACCCCGAGAACATCCCTCGCACCCTCATTCCTAAAGCCTCTCGACAGCAAGTCACGGTGCTGTGCGCTCTCGCGAGACTCCTCCACGCAGCCTGCCCCTTGCCTGCGAGGAAGCCTCGCACGCCCCCCTCCCCAACGCCCCCCCCCGTCGTGAGCGGCGCATGCGTGGCCCCACGGCTCCCAGCGCCCCCCGCGCTCTCCACTGGGCGAGCTGACGAGGCTGCGTGCCAGCTCTTAGCCCCGCGAGGCCTTGCCTCATCCAGCTGCTGCTTCTTCTTCTTCTCCCCCACCCCCAACCTTGGCCGAGGCCCTTGGCAGCCCCGTGCGGGGAGTTCGGAGTGCTGCGAGCGCTGCTGGGAGCCAAGAAGATCCCGACCCTGGCCTCGGACAGTCCTGTACTCCTGCCCGGGCGGGACACCTGCAGCGGCCTGGACCCCGACCAAGACCCCTGGGCCGGCAGAGCCTCACAGAGCCTCGCGGACACACCCCCTCCCGGTCGGCGCCTCCGCCCATCCCGTCCTCCGTCCTCTGTGTTCCCTGCTAGCCCAGCGCGTGGTTCTCTTTCCGATCTTGCACCCTAGAGATCCTCATGGGAGGGGGCACATCTTGATTGGAGAAGAGGGCGGGTTTGCAGACTTTTGGGGTGGGTGCACATTCACCTTTTCAAGATCCTAATAAAAATTTGATTAATCAGCCTGGAGTTCCTCGTTCCAGCTGACGTACTGTCTTTTATCTCCCTCCAGTTCCATATTCACAAGGACATTTACGTAGGGGTCCCTCGGAAGCGTCCCTGGGCCCTTACTTGGAGCTAGACCTGTTGGCCCTGGTTGGATCATGGCTACAGTCCTGGACCCTCAGGTGGACGTGGAAGTTGAGGAGTGCCTCATAATGAAAGTGGAAAAGGACTCTGAGTGGGCATCGGAGCCCATTCTGGACCCATCAGGCAGCACTGAATGTGAATCCTTTCGTAAATGCTTCAGGCAGTTCTGTTACGAGGATGTGACGGGACCCCATGAAGCTTTCAGTCAACTCTGGGAACTCTGCTGCCGGTGGTTGAAGCCAGAAATGCGTTCCAAGGAGCAGATCCTCGAGCAGCTGGTAATTGAACAGTTTCTCACCATTCTGCCCAAGAAGATTCAGGCTTGGGCGCAGAAGCAGTGTCCAGAAAGTGGAGAGGAGGCGGTGGCCCTAGTCGTTCATTTGGAGAAAGAGACCAGAAGACTGAGAAAGCAGGTGAGAGACAATTTTGAATGAAGGGGATGGGAAAGGCAGGTAGGCAGAGCTACACTGCTGGAAGAACTCATTATAGAAATAAATGGGACTTTTAAAAATCCATAAGCTGAATCCCCCTAAAAGCAGAATGTATTGCATATTAAATGGAGGGGAGAATTTTGTTTGAACTACTATCTTGCAAATTAAACTAAAATAATGACCAGTTTGTTCTAGTCCTTGGTATGTGTCTGCCAAAGCTATATAGACAGTATTAAATAGTTAATACCTCACGGAGTTTGTCTTTGGCAGGAGGGGGAGATGTCATGGAATACCCCAGAATCCTCTCTAATCCTTTACTATTCCAGTCATTGTCTTGTGAAGTACTCTTAGTGCCATGGTCCTTGGCATTCATCCAGCTTAACTGCCAGATCGTCATTTTCCGGTGTCCTTGCGTGCTGGGTTAGTTATTTCAACACCCTTTTGTTAGCCTCGTGAAATCCTGCAGTGTTGGCCAGGTTTGTAGTTTCACCTTGCACAGGATGTGTTCGGGAGTTGATTTTACAAGTTTTCAGTTAACTGCTGTTCTGATTAGTTCTCTGTACACCTGATAGATACAAGGTCTTTTATAGTAATGACCCCCCTCCAAAATACAGATAAAGAGTGTTATGTTCCCTTATTCCCGAACCACTGTGAGCCAACTTCAGTCCATCAAGACTTCATTCCTTCGCAGTTCTTTTGTCCTTTAATGCCCTTGGGAGGAGCATTTCACCCTGATTAGTGGTTCTTTTCCTACAGTTCCCTTTATGACGTTGACTTTATTTTGCAGGTCAATAGTCCCCTACACTCAGAGAAGCAAGCCCCACCTGGAACTATGTGGGAAGTAGCCAACTTTGAACCAGAGCAACTGGAGACCCAGCATAGGGTTGTTTCTCAGGAAGAAGCTGAAAGCCTCCTCTCAGGATACCAGGAACAACTGAACCAAAACCGAGAGCGTAGGCCATTACCTAAGAATGGTAAGAAGGACTCAGAGTGTACCCAGATCAGAGGCTGTGTAGGTTTGCACTATGGTTTGCTCAGTGTAGGTCCCTTTTATACCCATTTGAAAAATAAATTGAATACTTGTAAAGAAAATGTTCATCTGCTTCAAGAGTCAGAGAATATGTGCTACCAAAATAAAAGAGGATCATAAAGATGGAAATTAGGGAAACTTAGATTGTCCAGGGCAACTTTGAATCTTGGTCAGCTATTTTAATGTCTCTGTTCAAAATTCAGTTTGTGTCTTTAGTCATGTAATGTGTATAAACAACTTGAAAAACTGTTGAGAAATGAAAACAAGATATTTTTATTCCAAACTTGACTCACAAGATAAAGCATCCCAGAGTGATATATGAGAGGCGTAGAAGGTGAGACTTCTCAAACAAGGGACTCAAGCAGTTAGCTGGTGTTCAGACAAGGGCAGGACCTAGCTGCCCTCCATATGAACACAAGTCAGATAGAAGGGAGAAAGCTGTCTGTCTCTTCCAGACCAGTTACCTTTCCATCTCCCGAAGTGTGGCTTCATCCCAGGCCAGTAGAGAGGTGTGGAAGGATCCTGTCTAAAGACTTCATTTATTTCTGTCTGCCCCCACACTGTGATCTTGGGCTAGAAGAAGCAAGCAGACCTGAGTTCATAACCCACCTCTCCCCATATTTTAATTTTGTGGCATTAGTCAGGTTATTTCTTACTTAGGGTTTCTATTGCTGTGATAAAACACTATGACCAGAAGCGAGTTAGGAAGGAAAGGGTTTATTTCACTTACACTTACACATCAAAGGAAGTCAGAACAGGAACTACAACAGGACGGTACCTGGAGGCAGGAGCTGCTGCGGAGGATGCTGCTTACTGGCTTGCTCATCATGGCTTGCTCAGCCTGCTTTCTTATACCATCTACTCCCACCTGCCCAGAGCCAATGCTGTCTGCAATGATCAGTCATTAATGAAGAAAATAACCCACAGGTTTGTCCATAGGCCAGTCTGGCAGGGGTGTGGAGTGGTGCATTTTCTCAATACAGGTTTCCTCTTCTCAAATGGCTCTAGCTTATGTCAAGTTTAGATAAAGCCTAGCCAGCATCTGGATTCTCTTGGTAATGTCAGAAGTGATAAGTCTTCAAGTGCCACAGTCTCACACTGAAGCATCAACTGGAGCTAAGCGTATGCTGTGCCCTTCAGTGGAACTTGTTCTCTCCAGTTCCCAGCCCTTTCCTCACGCACTTTACCTGCTTATTCCGGAAGCATTTGATGGTGAGCCCAGCATTAGAATAAGGTAGATTTGGGCATTGCTCTGAACTCATTGAAAAAATCATGCATTTCTATCTGTAGATTTTTTGGGGGTTTTATGAGACAGGGTTTCTCTGTATTGTTTCGGAGGCTATCGGTCCAGCCCGGCCTGGAACTCACAGAGATCCGCCTGCCTCTGCCTCCCGAGTGCTGGGATTAAAGGCGTGCGCCACCACCGGCCGGCTCTATCTGTAGATTTTAATGTGCTCTCATTTCTTAAAAGGAGAGGCAGCATAAGTTTAAACAGCCAAAGTTCAGAGTACTATCTACCATAATTGTTTTCTCTCTTTTTCTAGCTCACTCTTCTCTCTGGGTTCCTGTCACTAGTGAAGAGTGGAACACTGTAGATCAGGAGGTGACAACCCAGGTAAATTTACTCCCAACTTAATTGTAATTGTTCTCCCTGTCTTCCTTCTAGGGAATTCAGACAGTTATTTCCCATGCTTTTACTTGTTTATACTTCTTCCAAAGAAAATTTTTCCCTCAATTTCTTTTCCAGAAGAGGTTAGACTCAGTCTTTTCAGTAGTGGAACTCCTTGCTGGATCAGTTAGTTCTCTTCCGTTATCTCATCCTAATTCTTTACTGTATATCCCACTTAACTTGACACACGATACGTTCATGTTTCCTTAACTCAGTCCTTCTTTAGGGCCCTTCTCTGCTTCACCCATGGCTGTTCATCCTCTGAAGACCTTTGCTGTGGTCTGGGTAGTCACTGATGTTAGTGTTGTTACAGGAACCAGTGAAAGATGTCCACACAGTGAGAAGCTTTTCCTACAAAAAGAGTGTGCATCAGATTCCTACTCACAGAGATCTCTACCACGAAATCAGGAAAGAAAGTGCAGAGAGCATGGTTTCCCTGGGTAAGCACTCTTTCCTTTACAAATAAAAGACTGGCAGATTTCTTATATTTTAGTTCCTACTGGTGATAAAGGGTTGTAAATGTTAGTGACTAAAGCAGTGTTTCTCAACCTGTGGGTCAAGAGTCCTTTGGCAAACTTCTATCTCCAGACAGTATATACATTACAGTTCATAACAGTAGCAAAATTACAGTTATGAAATAGTAACGAAAATAATTTTATGGTTGGGGGTAACTACAGCATGAGGAACTGTATTTAGAGGGTCACAGCATTAGAAAGGTTGAAAAATACTGGCCTAAAGGATCCCCATGGATTGTGTAGTGTAATTATTTATGTGTTCCCTTTCCATATGTACTCTTTCCAGAAAAAATTATAATAATAATTAGAACATTGAACAGGAGTTATATATGAATACCATATTTGTAGTACAGGAAATACATCCACCAGCTTAGAGATCTGTGAAGTCACCAGGTCTTCTACAGTTTGTTTTTATTTAACAATAGTGACCACAACACCTAACATAGAGCTAGCTGACTAACAGGTGGATGAGTACCTGTTAAATATTTGTTGGATGGATAGAAAACTTAAATACTGAATAAAAAAGTAATTTAAATTTAATAACCTCAGTAGCATACTGTGAATTATTTAAGTAGACAAGTGTGTAGGCACATATGGCCACTATAGTGTCACTCTCCAGGTAAGTTTTCAGAGGACTGTCTCTATCTACTGTAACAGGAGAGATTAGTATTCATTCATGTATGAGTTTTAATTCAGAAATCAGGGAGTAATGGGTATCATAGCCAGGACTGGGGAGACAGGTCAGTCAATAAGAGCTTGTAAGTATGAATACACAAATTTGGCCCTTAAAGTTCACATTTTAAAAAAGCCAAGGATGGTGGCATGTGCTTATAAACCCATGACGGGGAGGCAGAGACAGACAGATCCCAGGAACTCACTGACCAGTCAATGGTATACTTGATCCCCTAAAATACAAAAAAGGTAAACAAGCTGGAGGGGTTGCTCAGTTGGTCAAGTGCTTGCATAAGAACCTGAATTCAATCCTCAGTACCCAAGGGGGGGGAGAGAGAATGAACACTGTACATTCTTATAATCCTGGTCCTGGGAGTGGGGCAGAGACAAGTGGATCCCTAGGGTTCATTGGCAAACCAGCTAGCCTACTGGATGAGTTACAGGTCAGTGAGAGAACTTCTCTAAAACTATACAATAAAAAAACAGGTGAAAGGGCATAGTCCCTAAAACTCAGCACTCGGAGGCAGAAGCAGCCAGACCTCTGAATTAAGTTCCAGGCCAGCCAGGGCTGCACAGTGAGACCCTGTCTCAAAAAAGAAAAGATGAGGACAGTGCTTAAGGAATGCTACCTGAAGCTGGCCTCTGCCCTCTACACACATATGCACACAAGTGCACATATACAAGGTTGGACTGTGCCTGAGGAACAATACCTGGGGTGATGCTAAGACATACACACATGTATACAACAAGTTGTTGATGCAAATGTGCACTGATATCAATTTATAACCAATGGCTATAGAGCATACATTATAGATATATAATCCTGTACTGTCTGGTGAGTAACTACTAGCCATGTATACATTTACATTTTCACTTTGGGGCTGAAGAGTTGGCTTACTGGTTAAAGGCACTGGCTCCTCTTCCAGGGATGTGTTTGTTTCCTAGCACCCATATGGTAGCTCACAACCATATATAACTCCAGTTCTAGGAGATCCCAGCATCTTCTGATCTCTGAGCACACTACACACATGGTATACATACAGGCACACATGTGCACACACACATAAAATTTTTTTAAAATGTTTTAATCAAATAAATGTTAAGTTTATTACATTAATTAAAATTAAATGAAACTAAATTCATTTTTAACCATATTTAAGGTATTCACTTGTCATATTGGATGGCACAGTTATGGAACATTTCTATTATCCCAGAAAACTCTATTAGACAATACTAAATTAAAGTACAAAAATTAGGACTAGTGAGATAACTCAGTGAGTAAAAGTGCTTGTTGCTGAGATAAGTGACTCGAGTTTCATCCCTTCTACCTCATCTTCAGGTAGAAGAAGAGAACCAACTTCCACAAACTGTCCTCCTATTTCCATATCCATACTCTGGTGCACACACAAACACACACACACACACTAACTAATTTAGGCCTAAAGTAATAAAAACTTCAAGTTCAGAGATTTAAAATAAGCCATCTCATAAATGGACAAAGGCAAATCAATTGTCTTTTGTTAAAAAGCAAAGAAATTTAAAAATAAAAAACATAACCATTATAAAATATCACAGCACTGCCAGGTGGTGATGGTGCACAACTTTAATCCCAGCACTTAGAAGACAGAAGAAGATGGATCTCTGTAAGTTTGAGGTCAGCCTGTCTACAGAGTGGGTTCCAGGTCAGTTATGGCTACACAGAGAAACCCTGACTTCAAAAAAAAAAGTGAACTCACTGATTATTTTTCTATTTCATGGAAAACAAAGTAGATTGCAGTTCCTTTGGACGTAAAGATCTTTCATATGTGCCAGACCAGGAAGCTAAATTATAAAGTTAATATTCCCTACTCTTAATCTCTTTAAGCAAAACAATTTTACATTGTTTATTTGATATGTCCTCGCCAAAGTTTTTATTTGAATGTTTTCTTCTTCTGCCAAATTTTTTCCAGACTTACTATTATATAATTGGCAAATAAAATTTTATGTAAATAAAATGTGAAATATTATTATTTTATACACATTGTGCAGTATTGACCACAATTAGTACATCCATCACCTCACACAGTTAACAGGAAGGATACTTAAAATATGTTCTTTGTATTTGTTCATATCGCCCACCTCAAACACTGGAAACCACTATACATTGAAGTTTTTTTAAGATTTCACTTAAAGTTGAGATAGTATGATGTTTGTCTTTCACTGTCTGGCTTTATTTCATTTGATATAATATATGCTGAGTCCAAGATATCTAAAAAGTTTTAGATATAAGAAGGATTCCATTCTTTCTATAGTTTTCTTTTCTATGCTCAAGTTTATAGATTTTCACATATCCTTTATTTTCATTTTATTTTATGTGTATGAGTATTTTGCCTACATGTAATGCCTATGCATCACCTGTGTGCCTAGTGCTCAGGGAGGCCAGAAGAGTATCAGATACCCTGGAACTGTAATTATAGGCAGTTGTGAGCCACCATGTAGATGCTAGGAATCAAGCCCAGGTCCTCTGGAAGAGCAGCCAATGCTCTTAACCATTGAGTCATTTTCAAATATTCTTTATTCATCCATTGATAAATGTTTTGGGTTTTTTCTATACCTTAGGTTTTGTAAATTATGTTGCAGTGAATGTGCTGAGTGCTGGTGCCTCAACTGTAATTTGGTTCCCTTTACAAACATATCCAGAAGAGGGAGAGATGGGAAACATGATAGTTGTTCCAGCTAACTTTTCAGGTTCATTTTTCACATCACATCCATACTGTTTTTCACAGTGGCTGAATGAGTTTACATTACCACCAGCAGTGCATAGGGGTCATTTTCTATACATCCCCACCAGCATTTACTATCTTTTATATTCTTGATGGTAACCATTCTAACAGATGTGAAGTAACAGTCCATTATGATTTTGATTTGCTTTTCTCTGTTAATGACATTGAGTGCCTTTTCATGAACATGTTGGCCATTTGCACATCAGATTCTTTGCCCATTTTTATCAGATGTTTTTCTATGAATTTTATGACTCTTTGTACATTTTAGATTTTAACATCTTACAATGTATATGGTTGTAAGTATTTTCCCCTGTACTGCAGGCTACTTCTTTACTTTGTTGATTATTTTCCTTGCTGTGCTGGAACTTTTATTACCTCTGCTTTCATTGTATAAAACAATTCCAAGACTGGGGTCAATTACCTTTTTCCTATGGTTTAGGTCTCATATATGTACATGGGTGGGGAAGGTTGTGTATCTAAAGGCCAGTGATCAATGACTGGTGTCTTCCTCCACCATATTTTTGGGAGCATGGTCTCTCATATGCCTGATGCTGTGCTCCTTGCCATGATGGCCATGAACTCTAACCCTCTGGGTTGGTGTCTGTGGTGCTGGAGCAGTAGCTGAGAGCTTATACCCTGGAGATCCCTCTGCTGGAATTACAAGCACATGTCATCAAGCCTGCCCTTCACATGGATGCTGGACTCAAACTCAGGTCCTTATGCTTACATAGCAAACACTTTGCCAACAGAACATCCTCCCCAGCCCCATGTGTAGGCATTTAATGTATTCCAAGTTAATCCTTGAACTTGAAGGACTGTCTATTCTAGTTTGCTTTCTCTGTTTCATGACAATTCCAGACTGATTAATATAGCTTAATAAAAATCCTTTGCTTCTCTAATAGCCCCAGTTGTGTGCATGCGTGCGTGTGAATGTGTGCATATTGAGACAAGAACGTATGTTGGGAGCATATATAAATAAAGGAAACAAATACTACATCCTAGTCCTTGGGAGTCTAAAGCAGAAGGAGTGTTATGAATTTGAAGCCATCAGTAATTCCAACCTTTTCTACAGTGTGATACAGTATCATCCAAAAGAAAGAGTCAAAACTAATGAAATATGTCTTACCTTGAGGCTTTCCTGAAAGAATTGGCTAGATGGAAGCAGTGTATACATGAGAGTAAAATGCCATTTCAAGATTTCTGTGCCAAAGAAGTCATGTAAAAAACTACATGGTCCTGGCTGGGGAAGGCTGTGTATAAACAAGTAGTCCAGGAGAACATATTTCAACAGGAGACTGGGGTATGTAGTAATGATATCTGTGCCTACTGTGAAATATGTTTCTCTTACTGTAGGAGGCACTGTGTCTACATCTAACAAGATAGCCCAGTTGGAGCAAAGAAAGGAGCCGTGGACTGTAGGTCTTCATTCCTCAAATAAGAGGAATAGTGTCCTGAGAAGCAACTGCATTAAAGAGAAATCTGTGCGTGCTGTTCAGACCCCAGCAAGAAATTCAGGGAAAGTGTGGCGAGAGCAGCAGCAGTGGGGTTTAGAAGATGAAAAAATTGCAGGTGTGCACTGGAGCTATGAGGAAACCAAGACTTTTCTTGCAATTCTCAAGGAATCTCGCTTTTATGAAACACTCCAGGCTTGTCCCCGAAATAGTCAGGTATATGGTGCTGTGGCTGAATGGTTGCGAGAATGTGGCTTCCTCCGAACACCAGAGCAGTGCCGGACCAAGTTCAAAAGTCTTCAGAAAAGTTATCGAAAAGTGAGAAATGGCCACATGCTAGAACCCTGTGCCTTCTTTGAGGACATGGATGCCTTGTTAAACCCTACAGCCCATACTTCATCTACTGATAAGCCAAAGGCTGTGATCTCTCTCCCTAGACTAAGGAGAATTGGTATTAGTGCTAACGAACAGGTCAGTTTGGTGGAAGAGGAGGATGAAGGTGCTGAAGACTCGGATGGTGATGAAATGGGCATTGAGTTAATACGCAAGTCTGAAGTGCGTGCTGCCCCTGTTTTGTTTCAAAACCTAAGTGGTAAGAATTGTGATTTTTTTCTTGGTGTGAAGATAGAAGTGTGTTCCTGTGAAGAACGTAGTAGATGAGACTAATCCTGGGGAGAGTTACCACACTCCATGCTGCTTTCACTGCAATGTTACCCCACAACTAAAAGGGCACTTGGGTGTTTGTTGCTGTCCCCAGCACAGCCTGATTAACAGCTCTGAGGAGCCTGCAGGCTCTTATTAAAGCTAGAGCTAAGCATGATTTTTAAATAACTGGGGGCCAGGTTAGAGAGATGACTCAGTGGATAAGAGCACATGCAGCTCTTGCGAAGTATCCACGTTCAGTTCCCAGCATCCACATGGCAGCTCATAACAATCTATAACTCCAGTTCCAGTGTACCAACACCCTCTTCTATTTATATAAAATTTATATAAATATATAAATAATTATATATTTAATAATAATTCATAGTTATTATAGTCCTTCCTATGGAAGAAAGGTAAATGGAGCTAAAGAGTTCTAAGTGTCTACTATTTGAAGATTAGTATAATCAGTTGTATTAGATTGTAATGAATGAAGGATGCCTTACTAGTCCACACAGTATAGCAGTAACAGGGGAAAGAGTTGAGAAAATGAAATAAAAACTTTTTCTGCCCAATTTAAAAGGCAAGAAAGGAGAGTAAACAGAACACAAAACAGTGAGTCACATAAAAGCAATAGCAAGAGCTGGTCCTGGTGACACACAGGTAATCCCAGAACTTGGGAAGTAGAAACAGCAAGAGTTTGAGGTCAGCCTGGACCATATAGCCAAACCCCATCTCTAGCCTCGATAGATAGATAGATAGATAGATAGATAGATAGATAGATAGATAGATAGATAGAGAAACAAGATGTCTTGGTTACTTTTCTGTTACTCTGAAGAGATACCATGACCAAGACAACTTACAGAAGAGTTTGTTGGAGCTCACAGTTCTAGTCGGTTAGAATCCATAACCATCATGACAGGGAGCATGGCAGCAGACGAGCAGTAGCTGAGATCTTACATCTTTATCAGCAAGCAGAAGGCAGAGAGAGGTGGGAAAGGTGTGGGCTTCTAGAATATCAAAGCCTTCCCCCAGTGACATGCCTTCTCCAACAATGCCACACCTCCTAACCCTTGCCAAACAGTTCCACTAGCCAGGGACCACACATTCAAATATATGAACCTATGGGGACCATTCTCATTCAGACCACCATATCCCACACCCAAGCCCCCATAGGCTTGTTGCCATATGATAAAATGCATTTATACCAACTTCAAAAGTCCCTATAATCTTTCAGTCTCAAGAGTATTTAAAAGCCCAGAGTCTCTTCTGTAACCACCTGTAAAATAAAACAGCACATTACATACTTCCAACATAGAACACCACAGAATACATAGTTAGGAAACACTGGATCAAAACAAGACCAAAACCCAGCAGGGCAAACTCCCAGTCTTGTAGTTCTGTATCCAATGTCAAAAGCCTTTGATGGCTTTTACCTTACAGCTTTACTAACTGTAACACACTCTCTCTTTTGAGTTCATTTCACTCCCTATATGCAACCCTCCCTGCAAACATTCCATGGCTTTGGTACCTCCAACATCCCTGGGGTCTCCAACACAATCCAGGCTTCACATTCACAGCTTCACACAGTGACTTTTCTGAACCTCCATACAAGAACTCCCTGTTACATACCTGTTCCTATTGGCTTTCCTTAACTAGGGAGGGAGATTTCACAGTCCCTTTACTACTGTATTTTTCATGATTCTAAAGCCAGAATCATGTGGCTGAAGTTGCCAAGTAAGTACTGCTGCAAGCTTGGAATGGAGTCTAGCCCTCTCCTTAAATTACATTTGTATAAGGCTTGATTTGCTTTCATTTGTTTAGTAAGCTTTCCTTTGTTTTAGGAGCAGAAAATTCCTTGGCGTTTCCTTTTTGCAAGTTGGAAACTTAACTGAATGGGGTGTTGTCCTGAGGACACCGCTCTTTATTCCATTTCACATCAGACCTGTCTTTAAAGATCTCATCTCTTTGAACACAAGATGTGGCTCCAGAATTAAATTTCCTGTTGCTCTTCTCTCCTCAAATTGTACAATCTGTATTTCTTTTTGCCCCACTTGCTCTTTCTCATCATAGACCCACATAAGAGTCATCACTAATAACCACATAATGCATTAAGTATTAGGCTGTCCTGAAGTCTCCTCTGCCAGCAAATAGTCCAAAACTCTTCAGTTTGCCTTATGCAGATTCTTAGGACAAGGCCAAAAAGCAGCCACATTCTTTGCCAAAATATCATAAGAATGGTTTCTATCCCAGTGGTCTCTAGCTAATAATTGTTCCCACTGAAACCTTTTGAACCAAGCCTCCCTGGTATACACTACTGCGTTCCATGTTCCTGCTGGGATGGCCCACTAAACCCCTTACAGCAGCATTCAATCTACTTCCCTAGTCCAAAGTCTTCCACATTTCTTCAAAACACCATCATGGTGAGACCTATCACATCAGTAGTACCCTGTTCCTGATACTAACATCTTGCTTAGTTCCCCCAACTGGGATCCAGGCATTCACTGTAGAAGATTATGGGAGCCATTCTCATTCTGGTAGAAATAAATCTAAATACATCACTAATTACAAATTTACTAAACTAAGATTAACACGTTAAAATAAAAACAATACACTCCTTATAATAAATGCACCCTATATAAAAGACAGGCATTAAAATAAAAGAAGCCTAGGCCTGATGCTGCAAACCTGTAATCTTAGCACTCAGGACCTAACAGGAGGATTGCTAAGTTTGAGACCAGCTTGAGCTACACAGCAAGATCTTGCCAAAAAATAAAAAAATAAAAAGGTACACCATGCAAATCTGTGGAAAATTTAGGCACCAAGACTCACAGAATTAAACAACCAGTTAATAACTATTTGACAGTAGCATATCATGTAACAACATTGGGCTTCAATTTTCTCCTGTGGGATATATGACTAAGAACTCACAGTGTTATTATGGTGTTCAGCAGGACACAACAGGTGATAGTACTCTAAAAAGGCTAAAATGCATCTCTGTTATTACTGATATCTTTCCTAGTCTGTTGTAATAAAGATGGTAAATCCATCAGTAGAATAGAAAAATAAATCAGGTGTGTTCATGAAGGAATGTGCCTAAAATAAGCAGATATGCTGACAAATGGGAAAATTGTCATGCATATACAGGAATTTACCAATTTGAAAACCAAAAAATATGAGGCTCTTGGGGGTGGTTTCAAGAGTAGGAGTCCAATGATGGTACTGGAAGTATCCAGTAAATATTGAGGCTAGATACTACTTTTTCCAAAACAAAAACATGTTTAACAAACTACTGAGAAAAGTTGTATTCTGCTGTCTGATGTACAGATTGTACTATCTCTGAAATTAGAAGATTGGATGAGTTAGACTCAGAACTACTTGGACATAGCTCTGATTCTAGCGAAAGAAGTAGTAGATTTCAGGCTGTTCTTTTGGGGTTATAATCCATTGTTCTGAACTACTTGAAAAAGACACTTCTAGGTAGCTAAGCCCTTCAGTTAGTCTCCATAGCAATGGCAGTGTGGAAGACTACACTTACTCTTCCAAGTAAATTCTGGTTCTTTGGGAATTTTGCCTATTCATTTGAAAATGGATGTCTGTGCAACTTGAGTTTTTGTATCCAGAAAGCATCTCCCTTTTTCTAGTTATTTTAATGTCTTTGAATAAAGAATTACAGATTTTTAACAGACTTTATCAATTTTTACAAAGCTTGTTTCTGGATATTCCATATTTCCTGTTGCTATCATGAATAGAACTTTAATTATAATTTTATTTGTCCTTCAGAAGTTCATACATGTATATGATGAAATTTGATTATACCATATCCACACTCCATTTCCTTCCAACTCGCCCCAAGTCCCCATTCCAACTTCATGGATTTCTTATCTGTCTGTCTTTCTGTCTGTCTATCTGTCTATCTATCATGTTGCCCATATGTACATTTATGTGGGGACATCCTCTGAAGCAAGGGTAACCTGCCAGTGGGAACACTCTCATAAAAGAATAATTCTCTTTCCTCCAGAAGCTGTGAAGTGCTACACACACACACACACACACACACACACACACACACACACACACACACACACACACGCACTATACTAGAATTTTGTCTGGCTGTATAGGTCTTCTGCAAGTAGCCATACCTTCTGTGAATTCATGAGTACACTAATCTATCATGTCCAAAAAATAGTGTTTCACAGTATTTCTCCCTGAATAGGACCCATATACCATTATGTTTTATAGAATGTGTAATAGGGAAACTCCGGCTCCTTATATGATTAAGCTTTATCCTTGAATGGCAGGTGTGCATTGGGGCTATGAAGAAACCAAGACCTTTCTTGATATCCTTCGTGAGACTCGATTTTATGAAGCATTACAAGCCTGTCATCGGAAGAGCAAATTGTATGGAGTCGTGGCTGAGCAACTTCGAGAGTGTGGCTTTCTCCGGACACCAGAGCAATGCCGAACCAAGTTCAAAAGCCTTCAGAAGAGTTACCGAAAAGTGAAGAATGGCCATGTACTGGAGTCCTGTGCATTTTACAAGGAGATGGATGCCCTCATTAACTGCCGTGCATCTACCCTTTCCACCAATACCTCAGAAGAAATTCCATCACTCTCAAGGCAAGAAAGAGGACATATTGTAGTTGAACCCCAAGAGCCTACAATCTGGGAACCTGAGGAGACCTCACAGGAAGCAGTTTTAGAAGATTCTGGTACTGAGAGAATGAGTGATGAGGAAATTATAGAAGAGCCAGAATTCCAAGAACCTACAGGGCTACCCCAAAGCCCAGCTGGTAAGGGTCACTGGGGCTTTTAATTGAAGTGAGGAGAAAATATGACTTCTTGAAATATCAGTACATGTGGCATATAGCTCATGCATATTTATTCACTCAGAGATATTTGAATGGTATTTGCTGTCAGAGGAACAGGAAAATACAACTGAGTACAATGGGTCCTGTTTTTATAGTACTTCCCTTACAAGGGGGAGCTAAGCTGCTCACATTCTGTTGACTCAGGCTTTGGGACTTTAGCCTTGTCTTGGTGGGCAGACAGTGTTTTGTTTCTGGAAATATTATAGAGAGGAATGTGAGATTCTACCTTTTAAGAAACAAACTTGAAGGAGGAGGAAGGTCAGTAAGCTCAAATCAGAAGCATCTCACTGTTGTGTGATGTGCATGAGGAAAAGGATAGGCAGCGACAAGATGAGAGGCTTTGTCCTGGTCAGCGACAAGATGAGAGGCTTTGTCCTGGTCCTGAGCTCGGCAGCCTGCCTCTCTTGCCCATGTCTGTCCTCACTGGCATTTAACTGCCAGTTCAATCATTACAAGCATTAAATGTAGCTAAAACCCCACAGGTGTCCTTAAAAGATCATTTGAACGTCTTCTCACTGAGCGTTTACATCCAGGCAGATGGCATGGCTTGCTAAATAGACTGTCACTTCTGCCTGCCCCTGCTTTCATTGCCACAGATAGCCATTACTGCAGGTTTGTCTTTCTCTATTTCTTGCCTAGATTATGAAAGTCTCAAAACCAAACTTTTTCTCACCATACTTTTTAAGTGGGTGGAGGGTCCCAAGAGAAAGAGAAAGGTCCCAACTGTAGCGTAGGCTAGTCTGGCATTCATTATCCTCTTGCCTCTACTTCTTGAGTTCTGGGATTGCAAGCAAGCTCCATCCTGCCCAGCTTCTCACCCATGTTTTGATTGAGCCATCTTTAATCTGGGATCATCCTATCATTCAAGGCATATGTACTAGTATTTTCTTTCTCTATGCTTACTTGAAAAAAACTACTTGCTGTCTTCTTCATGTTCCTTAAGCTCTCTCATATCTAAACCATGCTTCATGATCCCTCCCCAACCACCCACACCTTGAACATATTCAGCTCTACACATCTGTGTATCCAAATTCTTTCAACTCCCACACTTTGTCTTATGGTACCAAACACTTTTATGTCCTGGAGAATGTGAGCACTGTCTTTCTGTAGCCACAAGATACGTCAGAATGTGAGACATTTCACACTGATTTCTTAAAGCCAATGTGTCTGGTTTGCCTGAATTAGTTGTACAGGCTCATTAAAAAGAATTAATGTCCAGATACAGCCGAGCAAGGACTTCATACATATTATGTCTGGTGATATTTATATGAGAAATCATAAAGAATAAGTTCAGCCAGGTGGTGGTGGTGCATACCTTTAATCCCAGCATTTGGGAGGCAGATACAGGCAGATCTCTTGAGTTCAAGTCCAGCCTGGTCTACAGAATGTGTTCCAGGAGGGCTACACAGAGAAACCCTGTCTTGAAAAAAACAAAACACAAAAGCGTAAGTCTAATATAACTTCTTTCTTTAAATATTATTTATTCATTTTTCTGTGTGGGGTTATTTTGCCTTGACATATGTCTGAGTATCATGTGTATGCCTGGTGTTCACTGAGGCCAGAAGAAAGTGTCAGATTCCTGGAAGTAAAGTTACAAATAGTTGTGAGCTGTAAATCCTAGTCCTCTGGAAAACCAACCCAAGTCCTTAACTGCTGAGTCATGTCTCCAGTCCCAACTTCATTTTTAATAACTGTAAAATTAGTCCCTGAAAAATATTATTTTAGGTGACCTCCAGAATGTAATCAAATTATCAGTTACTGTCTGAGTCAACTAATAGGCTATGACTTCCTCTAAATCCCATAACGATGTTGAATCTAATAACAAAATCTCAAAAGGAGTATTAATTGAAAATAACATTACTGCGACTTCTTGTATAAACTAATGAATGACTGTTGACTGCCGTTGTCTTCCCCACCCATGCCATAGCTAGCAGTTTCACTTAAATGTGTGGAAGGGGAGTCATGTTGACACCTACAAGTAGGAACAAGATGGCATAGTACAAGCTTAATCACAAGGGTTTGGAAATCAAACCTAGCCCAAGATATTCAACCTATGAAATATTTGTGGATGATAATAATATGTCTTTTAGAATTTGCATCAAAGTAATCTGGGTAGAGAGCAGGGAGTTTATGGGAATGGAGATGAAACTGAATTAGTCATAAAGGTAAGTAAAATAGTTCGTGGTAGTTCTTTATAAATGCGACACTGTTCATTCTTCTCTGTGTATGAATTTCCCATAATTAAAATTTAATAACAAAAACACAAGTAAGTGACCAGGATGTTGCTAGAACCAAACTATGTCATTCCAAGCTCTGGCTTTTCACTACATCATGTTTCCCATAAAACTCCACAGAGAAGCTAAATCCAAGATTTACCTTCTAGTAAATGGAGTGTAATGAAAATCTAGCGTTGGAAGCAGTAAAAAAGGAGTATTTGTATTATTGTGGCCCATGAGGTAACCAGAAAAGCAAGCTACAAGATCATATTGGGAAAATAGTACTCTAGGCTAGAACCTGGCTAAGGTATTGAAGAATTTAAAAGTATCTTGAAGAATTTGGAGTTGTTCTTTAGAGTTTATTCAAATGAAGTATAATGTAATATTTTAGTATAGGTGTGAAAGAATAAAAACAGAATGAATTACAACTTCAAGGAGGTAAACCAAGTTGTTGCTAAGTTAACAAGGATATAGATGGCAAATGATAGCTTGGACAGAAATTCAGTTTGAAAAAATTCTGAGGACCAACATGGTAGCAAAACGTCATTGGCCTTTTAATAGAACTGAAAGAGGATAAAGCATGGTGAATCAGTCAAGTCACTATGTGTGGCCACAAACATTAGAGGATCGTATAACCATTGTAGGCATGATTAATTATTTTTGTTAATATTGGAGTTTTGTGAAATTTTACTGTTTTTTTCCTTTTCCAGATTTTGAAATTGAAAATAGTATTAAGGAGGACCCAACACAGGTAATATTTAAGGACAAACAGCCCAATGGAGCATTAATAGAAAAGTCTAAGAGATTTGTTTCACAGAATACCAACCCCAGTAAATACTATAAAAGGGAATGCATCTCAGGAAGACAGTGGGGAAACCTTCAAGGAATTAGACAGGGAAAACTGATGTCTCAACCTAGAGATACAGGGAAGGCTACAGTGCATCAGAGGCCTTTCATGGGGAGAAGACCATACAGGCTTCTCAAATATGGAGAAAACTTTGGAAGGAGTGCCCGTCTTGTGTGCAGGATGACCCACCAGAAAGAGAACCCTTTCAAGTGTGGTGTCTGTGGGAAGTGCTTTGGTAGAAGCAGGAGCCTAATCAGACACCAAAGAATCCACACGGGGGAAAAGCCTTTCAAATGTCTTGATTGTGGGAAAAGCTTTAATGATTCTTCAAATTTTGGAGCCCACCAGAGAATTCACACTGGAGAGAAGCCGTACAGATGCGGGGAGTGTGGGAAATGCTTCAGTCAGAGCTCAAGCCTTATCATCCATCAGAGAACCCACACTGGTGAGAAGCCCTATCAGTGCGCAGAGTGTGGGAAAAGCTTCACCAACAGTTCTCACTTCAGTGCCCACCGCAGAGTCCATACTGGAGAGAATCCCTACAAATGTGGGGACTGTGAGAAGAGCTTCAATAACTGTGCAAGGCTTCGAGAACACCGGCAAATCCACACTGGAGTGAAACCCTACACCTGTGCCCAGTGTGGCAAGCATTTCAGTAAAAGCTCTTTCCTCACCAAACACCGGGAAGTCCACATGAGAGAAAAGCTACTGCCATACTCTTCCTCTGGGTACTCACCAGAAAATGTACTAAGGGGGAAGAGTGATGAGTTCAGGAAGGCCTTTTGACAATGAGCTTCTTTTCCACATGCCCTGTCAGTCATCTTATCCTAGTCCCACCCTAAGAAGCAATCTTTCCTATCTGTAAATTGTGGTCCCAAGACAGGCCTGAGAATATAAGTAAGCTAGATTTTTCATCTGTTCTCACTTCTTGTTCTAACATGCTCAGTCTGCCTCTCTCCTATGAGCCTTGACTATTCCAGTAAAGTGAGATAATAAGGGTTTTTTTTTTTAGTTCAGAATAAAATTCCCATTAGAATGTTAAGGCTAAAGCTATTGTCCAGCAACTTTCAAAACTTTCACACGTGGGTGAGAGTTCTTTTCAAATTTATGAATAGTGAAAGTTTTATAGTGTTATCACCCATATGAGACTTTGGCAGCAACTTGACAATGGATTTTTATATGTGGGTAGAACTCAGAGGTTTGACCAGATCTATCTTTGCTTTGAGGGTATAAAATGAGAGTAAAAGTTTTATAGCTTTCTTTAAACGTCTTTATCAAAGAGTTGATCCTAATTCCCTGTGTTGCTAATGGAGCGGTGTTGCTAATACCTTATCCTCCACCAAGAGAAGCACTTATTTACTCTTCATCTCCCTTTCTGTTCCTGAAGACTTAACTCCAGTGGCTGCTCCTTCTCCAGGGACAAGTGATCCTTCTGGTGTTCATCACAAATCTATACTTACCTCTTCATTGTTCTAGGTGCTCTAGTCTATTTTTTCTAGACTACCTTGACCCACTCAGATGGGAGAGGATGCATATTAGTGCTGTCTCATTAAGAGAAAATCAGATTTCAAAGTCTAGTTCTACCCCATCACATCTCTGACTCTTAACCTAAAATAAGACCTACTGATATGTTGGCATATTTCGAACTGCCTAGCTCTATATGTCAGTGTAATATAATAGTATTTCTAAAAGTATAACATGGTAAGGAAGAAGGATATGAGACCTGAAACACTTAGTGGACTCTTTAGGCCTGCTTTAGATCAAAGAGCTACCTCAGTCCAGACTACATTTCCAGGGTTGACTGTTACACATACTAGCCTCTGGTTCTGAAGCTTCTAGTTCCTGTTTGTAGGATCTATAGAGCCCTAAATAATTACACAGCTCTATGGTTCACTCAGTGAAAGTAGAAGTATTTATAAACTTCCACTCTAGAGTACCACCTTATTTTCCCCATTTACCTGTTCATCTAGGGGGAAAATGTCTTTGATAATCCCCAGGTATTAGCCAGGTAAATATTGTCAGAAAGTTTCTGGTGGATAAATAGTTAACTTGTGTAGAATTACAGATGAAATTCAGGAATTTTATCTTCCCAAACCAGTTACTTGAAGATGAGGCCTGTGCATTCATACCTTTAATACATAGGTAACCAAATGTAGCTTTTGCTTTGGGGAGGAAGAAGTCCCAAGTATAGTGAAAAGAAAACTATAGTCAGGGCTCTTACTAGGTTGTTCTCCTGTCAGATGCTCTCTTGTTTGAAAACATCTAGAGATGATATTTTTATGTGAATATATTTGAATCTTTTGAGACCCATTCAACAAAGTATCAAAGAGGGTAGACACTAGAAAGAAAAGCACTCTATGGTGCCAACATAGAGTGTAGCCTGTTGGAAGGCAGGTGACTCAGGTAAATGCTGATAACTGTTTGTGATGTGTATTTGTTGGAAATGTTATAATTGTTGACACCTCAGTAGCTTATTTCCTGTGTATTGTCTGAATTAGAGACTTCTAATGGTACTTTCAGCTTCATGTTGGTACTGTGCCTAGACCAGTAAGATTGTGTGGTGCCAGTGGGCTTGTGCTTATAATTTTGTAGATGTTCTGAAATTCCAGCTCTAGGAAAGATGCACATTAGTATAAATTGCCACTTAGTAACATGTACACAGGATTGATACTTACATGGAAGCATGATTCAGAAAGTAGATGACTTGTTCACAAATACTTATGTACTGTTATATAAAAGACCATGCTCTAACCAGAGAAAGAGACACAAAAATGATGGAAGCCATGGTGGCTGTACTCCAGCAAGGAAGTGTTGCCGCAGAAGATAGTCTAGCAAGAAGTTCATGGTGATGTGGAAGGTCAGTCACCCCACCTGGAGGAACTGCAATCACATCCTGAAGACCTTCTGTAAATTACAAATAGAAAACCAGTTTGAACTACACGTTTTGACACATTTTCCAAGCAACAGGAACTATCCAAGGTCTGTTCTGTCTCCACCATGACAAAGTGATTGTCTCCTTTGTCTAAGATACAGCTAGGTAGGTTTGGATTCTCTACCTATAATCCTAATCACAAACAGTCTGTTAGGATGTGTGTTAATCTAGTGGGCCTTTTCTCAGTTCTTAAGAAACAGGTCTTCCTATCTTAGTCCAAGGTGCTTATGTGTTTCTCTTTTGTCAGTTGACTCGTGAAAGTTAGAATGAGTGATGGCATTCTGAGTAATACATCTTTATCACCTCTGTAATGATCCACAGATCTCAATACCAAGGACTTCAAGGAGAAAAACAGGTTTTTTTTAATCTTAGAAACACTGTGATTTTTATAACTTGCTATTTTCTCCCTCATTGCTCTGGATGCTGGAAAGCTCAACAGAAGATTTCACCTCAGCCAACTACATATACCTATTTATTTTACTCTGTCGTATTTCTTTGGAGATTGTCTCAAGTCCTATTTTTGAACAATGGTATATGTATAAACAAATTCTTTATTCTCTGGCATTCTGTCAAAGACATTTTAGAAACTGTATTTCCTTCCTAGGCTTTCATTAATTTTCACAAATACCTTCCTAATTCTTACTGATGATTTTGTTATATATTCAACCTAATTCATTGACCTGGAAAGAAACACATGTTTTTGTAAAGAAGAAAACTCACACATGAAATAGATCAGAGCATCCTGCCACCAAGGAATGTGTATTAGACCAGAAACCAAAAGAAAAGTTTAGTATTGTTACCACTTCCTGAATTTAATTGGATAAATCACAACTTCTCTTTCTTAGTAGTTAAACTTATTTGCCAAAATTGCAGGAGTATTCATGTTCATGAAGCAGTGGAGCTTGGTAGAAATGAAGAAATAGAAAGGCCAGACTCGTACTTTGACTACCCACTGTATGTCAGCTCCGGGCCACACTGAGTCCATCTCATGCTTTAAGATGACAGCAATGCTGGCCCAGCTTGCTTAGTAAGCAAAAAGGACAAGCCACTTGTGTTCAGTAACAGGGAAATCCTTCCCTCTCCTATCCCTGAGAGCCAAAGGTGGGTAGATAGAGTGAAGAAAATATCTTGTGTGTTCTGGTGCTCAGTGAGAGTCAAGATTCATGGATTCGGAAAACCCTAGTGGAAGGAGCAGCTGAATCATTTGTATGCTCCACAGCCTCCACCTCCACTTGAATGAATTCTAGGACCAAGTGTAAATGGACATCTGTCTTCATTTTGTATTAATGTTCACTTAGATGTCTTCTTGAAAGCTTGTATGTAAAATATCTGCAATAAATGTCTACCTTTGGTTTACTATAATTTGAAGGATGTCTTTATTTGAAAAAATGAATATTTAGATTTTGGAGATACCCCATGAAGGGCCTCACCCTCCCTGGAGAGTAGAATGGGGATTGGGTGGGGAGTTGGGGGGATTGGTGGGGGGCAGGGGAGGAAGCGAGGGAGAGGGAGCTAGGATTGACATGTGAAGCAAGCTTGTTTCTAATTTAAATTAAAAATTTAAAAACAAAAAAATGAATATTTAATGAGCTCAAGGCCAATCCTTGTAACTGGTAAAAAGAACCTGAGTTTCATGTCCGTTCACAGTTGCCCTCCATAGCCAGCAGAAGGGACATATTGTTAATCCACAGTGGTTCTTGTACAGCAGTCCTCCAACTGCTGTTACCATTAGCCCAAATAATGGTTTGCTTTACCCCAAGGCAAAATTGATGTTGGACAGACATACTACATGTGCTTCTGACAAGACTTGCATGGCAGCCTAACTGGAAGGAATCCTAGCTGCCTCCTTAAAGATATAGATGTAGAAAAGGAAGGCTTATTCTCTTAGTGTCTCCTGCTGGGCCTGAGGAGTATATTAACATATAGCCGAAGAAAAGAGCTTTATCTGTGAGAGGGTCTTCCAGATAAAGGCCCAAAAAAGTGACAAAATCTGAGTGCTTGTCTATCAACCAGAAGAAACAGTAATGATTGCACAGACTGGGATTGCCAAAGGGAGGGAGACACAGGGTTTTAATAAAAAAATCTGTGTAGAATTCTCTCAGTCCTAATTCCCCATCTCTCATCATGAGAACATTTCTTCTTGGTGAGGTGAGCATCTTTCACATAGGTACCTCTTCTGGAAGAATTGTCAGATTGCCCTCTCTTGCACTAGCTGTTTTCCAAGTGCTTTTAGTCCAAAATATGCTATGTCAAAAAGGATGCTCTCCTTGAAGGTGGCAAATTCTATCATCCTTTACAGTATTACTTTTTTTTTTAATTTGGGGGATGGAATACAAGATCTTTCTAGTCCAGGTTTACCTCAAACTCTTAATTCTTCTACCTCAGCCTAGTGTTGGAACTACAGGTGTATGCTACCAAACCTTTCAGTGTTGCTCTTGACCACCACTTTGATAGAAAGGAAAAGTTCTGTGGTTTCCATGAAGCTTTTCTCATCATGACAATCATGACCCTTGGCCTTGGAATCAATGCAGAAGGACAGCTGCCGTGTATGTGTATTCTCAGTTGTACATCCAGAAAGCGTAGGAAGAACAGTAAGATGGCTCAGTCCACCCACTAAACACAGAGCGGGTTCCAGATGAAGGGCTCTATCACTCTTATCACATGGATTTTTCCCAAGACAGGGGTTTGTCTGAGTAACTCTGGGTGTCCTGGAACTTGCTCTGTTGACCAGGCTGGCCTCAAACTCACAAGGATCCACCTGCCTCTGGGATTAAAGACATGTGCCACCACCACAAACCAGTTCACATGGATTTTATAAACCTGTTTTGTGCTACAAACTTCAATACTATGCAAAGACTTCAAGAATTTTAATTGCTGAGTCACTACAGAGTGCCAACATCTAGATGTATCTCTGTAGTAAGTAGCCAAAAAGTGTAGCTCAGTGTGGCAGAATTCTGCAAGTCACCTGACCTTTCCTTTCATTACAGAGCTGTCTGTGGTGATTTGGGTCTGACAATTGAATATGAGATTTCAAGTGTCTAAAGGTGGTACATTATGACAGCCTTCTATAGAGAAAACACTGAACCACATAATGTAGGATTAGCAAGATGAATTCATATGCTGGGGGGCGGGTTATGGTTGAGAAATTGAAATGAAAACTGTATTGTGAAACTCAGTTGAAAGCTTTTCAGACCCCATTTCAGTGAAGGAAAAATGGACAAGAGCCAAGGCAGAAGACATAATAGTGTCCATTACTCAGAAACAGAAATTAGACTCTTAGGTCAAACAGTTCATCTTAGCAAGTTGATCTGTCCACATACTGTGACCTTGAGTAACTCTGAAGTGCCATAATGATGCTGGAAGATGACAATAAGAGTGTCTGCTGCCTTTGCTTCCTGGGGCTTCTATAATACATTTTCGCAAACTTTGTAACTTAGTTTGACAAATCTAGTCTTCTACAGTTCTAGAAACCAAGAGACATAAAGTTGAGATATCGGAAAGGATGTGGCCCCTCCAAAGGCTCCAGAGAAAAGACTTCCTGCCTCCTCCCACTTCTGCTGACTCTACATGTTGCTGACTTGTGACAGTCTCCCCATTTTCCCATGTGCTCAATTACTGCATTCCATGCATCCTGTGTCATTTTTGGTCTCTTACAAGGACTCTCCTTGCATTTAGTATAAAGTGCCAATATAGTCTCATCTTGATAGTTCCCTTACTTGAATCTACAAAGACTGTACTTCCAAATAAGATCATATTCTGTTGTTCCAGGTAGACAGAAACCCTGCCAGCCCCAGAAGCTCTGTTAATTTCCAGCCCTTTTCTTGAAAGTTCTGGTGGTAGCCATTCAGAATTTTTGAAGATTTAAAGATATGTAGACAGAAAAGGCCTGAAAGCCAGGAGAGAAAGAGACAGAGAGAAAGAGGAAGAGAGAGAGAGAGAGAGAGAGAGAGAGAGAGAGAGAGAGAGAGAGAGAGAGAGAGAGAGAGAACCAGCAGCTTAGCTAGAGAGGCCTGGGAGCCAAGAGATATAGAGTGTCAGTGGCCGAACATACCACCGAACCACTTAGAAGCTGTGTGGGGCGGGGGGGGGGGGCGGCGGGGGAAATGAGAGAGAACATCAGTGGCCAAGCAAGAGGCTTGGAAGCAGGGGAGGAGAGTGTCAGCAGCTGAGTGAGAGGCCCAGAATTATCAACAACAGGAGCTTCCAGAAGGAGTACCTCTGGGCACACTGGGAGACAGTGTCAGCACCTTGGCAGGCCACAGCAACAGCAGCAATCACCAGAAACTATCTAACCACCAGAGAATCCTGTACCGAAAGCAATAATCACCAGAACTATAGCAATGCCTCCACCTGGAAGAGTGACTACCAGACTCATGGCTCCACCTCCACCAAGAGGAGAGACCATCTGAGTCTTAATCCCATCTACGCCTGGAGAAGCAAGCACTGAAGGCTCATCCCTACCTGCACCTGAAGGAGAATTCAACAGAACCACAGCCTCCAACTACACCAATTGGAGGAAGAGAGACCCCCTGAAGCAAGGCTCCACCTGTACCTACTGGAGGAAGAGATAGATAGACAACAAGGTAAGATTATATTCAATAACACAAAGAATGATACAGCATCACCAGAAACTAGTGGTTCTACAGCAACAAGTCTTGAACATCCCAACTCAGATGAACAGAAGAAAGCAACCATAAAAATAACTTTATGAAGATAATTGAAGCCCTTAAAGAGGAAATGAAAAATCCCCTTAAAGAAATGGAGGAAAAGACAAACAAAAAATGGAAGAGATCAACAAATCCCTTAAAGAAAACCAAGGAAAAGTGATCAAACAGATGAAAGAAACAGAACAGGACTTGAAAACATAAATACATGCAATAAGGAAAACACAAACTCTTTTTTTCCACCAACGAGACCAGGTAAACCGGGCCCTGTATCCAGACCTGCCTTCCAGTGCCTGGGGACTGCCACAGAGCCTCCCCTCCTGCGGAAGCATACACACCCCAGTTAGTTTCCCGGTCTTCTTCTCCACCCACTGGACCAGGAAATTCGGGATATGTTTCTGGGCCCAAGCTCCAGTGCCTGGAGACTGCCAATGAATCTCCCCTCCCAGTGGAAGCCTACGCACCCCAGATTCCCGGTCCTCTTCTGTACCCATGGGACCAGGATTAGGACCAAGAAGAGGAGAACTACCAAAGTATTGGACTTGCTTGCACCCACTGAAAGGGGACTCTAGTCCCCTAACCACTAGGCCAGTAAGAGGCTCTTTCTGCACCCACTAGAAGAAGGGATGTGAAGGAAAAAATACAAAAATACACTCAACAACAGAAACACAAATATGACACTGCCAGATTCTAGAGACTCCACACCAGAAAAGCTCCAACATTCCAATGCAAATGAAGCAGAAGAGAATGACCTTAAAAACAACTTCAGGAAAATGATAGAGGCCCTCAAAGAGGATATGGGAAAATCTCTCAAAGAAATGGAAGAAAAAACAAACCAAAAAAAAATGGAAGAAAAAGCAAAAAAAAACTTGCAACAAATGGATGAAAAGACAAAGCAAAAATTGCAAGAAACAGTTCAAACAGTGTAAAGGTTGAAGACTAAAATAGAGATGATAAAAAACACACAATCTGAAGGAAAGCTGGAAATATAAAAGCTGGGCAAACAATCAGGTACTGCAGATGGAAGCATAACCAACAGAATACAAGAGATGGAAGAGAGACTATCAGGTGTTGAAGATACATTAGGAGAAATTGATTCATCGACCAAAGAAAATCATAAGTCCAACAAATCCCTAACACAAAACATCCAGGAAATATGGGACACCATGAAAAGACCAAACTTAAGAATAATAGGTATAGAAGGTGAAGAAAACCACCTCAAAGGGGCAGAAAACATATTCAACAAAATCATAGAAGAAAACTTTCCCAACCTTAAGAAAGACATGCCAATGAAGGTACAAGAAGCTTACAGAACACAAAGCAAGTGAACCACAAAAAAAGTCCCCTCGCCACATAATAATTAAGACCCCAAATATACAGAATAAAGAAATATATTAAGAGCAGCTAAGGAAAAAGGACAAGTAACATATAAAGGCAAACCTATCAGAATTACACCTGACTTCTCCATGGAAACTCTGAAAGCCAGAAGGTCCTGGATAGATATTCTACCAACACTAAGTGACCATGGATGCCAACCCAGACTACTATACCCAGCAAAGCTTTCAATCACAATAGATGGAGAAAACAAGATATTCCATGACAAAATTACATTCAAACAATACATATCTGCTAACCCAGCCCCATAGAAAGTTCTGGAAGGAAAACTCCAACCCAAGGAAGTTAACTACAACCAGAAAA